AGGAGGGGGCGGAGGGGGGAGAGCAAGGCCTCCTTCATCTCCGTGCGCACACACCACCACCGCTCGGCAGCTCCTGCACGTCCAAGCACACCGGCCAGATGGAAAGGGACTGGCGTATGAGCCGCGCGTCCTCACAGACACACACACGTGCATGCACACCACCACAAACAGACTGCCGAGGCAAAGGAATAAACACAGTTCCGTTCCGGGCGCTGTCGGCCAGCGCGGGCCGAGGAGGTCCCCCGGCACGGCGGGGCAGGGCTACATCTCACGCACCGCACCGGGGCGAGCCAGTTGTCGTTCCCGATCAATTCGGCCGAAAAACAAACAAAACGGTGGGTCAATCGAACTTTCAAGTTTGCTGTCGCGCACCAAGTTCGTGGCGGTGGGCCGCTATCCCCGGGCGGCGCAGCGTGCGTGCCGCGCGCAGACTAGCAGGTCAGCTCGACAAATCCGCTCTGCCACCGCATGGCGCGGCGGGCTGGCGCGCGCATCGAGGTGAGGGGGAGGGGGAGATTGCCGCCAGGATTAGCTCGGCTCCAAAGTGAGTTATCATCGGACTCACTGCACAAGCCGCGCGCCATAGCGCTGTCAGAGCCACACTCTTGTATGCAGTGCATCGTAAAAACTGATCAGGTCCGGCGACATCTGTTCGGTGTGGCGAGCGTTCGCCAAACGGACGCTTCCGGCCTGAGGCCGGCCGGCGGAAGGGACTCGGGCTGGATTGAGGCACAAAACTCATTCCGGGCAGTAAAGCCGTGTTAGGGCTCAGTCTAACGGAGATCTGCGTCAGACCGCCTGTCGGCAGACCTACTAGCGACCTAGCCGCCCCGCACGACACACCAAGTAGAGGATTTATGGGACGGCTGCTGCGGAAAAGAAACTTTGAACAGCTGGTCGCTCTGCAATAATATTGTAGCGGGTCGTATTTCATTCCTGAAGAGTATTTATAAAACTGGCAGGTAAACTAATAAAAAAAGGGTGATAAATATTGACACCCAATTCAAAGCCATTTTAAAAGGGAGGCGGTTAATAGGTAAAGCTCCACTGTCACGTCCGACACAATACGAACCTATGACATTCGACGGCGTGTAAGCCACGAGTGTAGCTCTGAACGGTCTGTGCTGCTGTCATGCGCTGCAGAGTTCATCCCCACAACAAAGCATTTTTTTCCCGCGTACTTCCTCCAACAGTAAGTATGCAAAACTCGCAACACTGTGCGCGTGCGCAGAAGCACTACTATACGACGCTTCCTGATTACATACAAACGTAATGCCAAAAAGGCCCGCGACGCGAAAAGTGTGCGAGTATAAAGCCACGCTTCCCCAAAAGGCCCACGGCCCATAGTGTGGAGAGGCAATGTGCGCCGCCGCCACTTCGCGAAAAAACGCAGTTTTATTATCCCACCGACTTTGGGCGCGAAAACTCGGCACGCAGTCGTCGTAACAAGGCCGTCTCGCACGGAAGTTTTGAGCAGCAGCGGCAGCCAGGGGAGAGAGGCACAAGCACGCGCACACGGTGTCTCCGGCGGTCTTCTTTTTCTCCTTGTTCCTCTCCTCTCTCTCCTTCCGCACCTTCCACTCCGATCTCCGCCACACCGCGTAGCTCTTCCCAATTTTCTCGG